CTGTTCTTGTTTACAATTTTATTATCTGATGGAGGGAGCTGGATGGAGCATTCGTAAAACAGTTTAAAGTTTAGGAATCAGTTAGCTCAGGGGGTGGCAAATGTTTTCTGTAAGGAACCGGATAGTAAATATATTACCCGGATAGTGTGGTTCATATGGTGTGTATTACAACTATTCAGCCCTGCTTTTGTAGCAGGACAACAGATATAGACGCTAAGTAAATGAACTGGAGTGGCTGTGTTCTTAAAAACTTTATTGATGGATACTGACCTTTGAATTTAATCTAATTTTCATGTGTCATGAAGTCTTCTTTTGATCACCTTCCCCCAACCCCAACCATTAAAAATGTAAAACCATCCTCAGACCATACAAAAACAAGTGGCAGGCTGAATTACCCCCCAGAGGCCATAATTTGCTGACTCCTGAGTTAGAGATCAGGAACGTGATGAATGAAACATCCTATAGTTAGGCTGAAAGACCCCCAAAAGAGGTGGCCAATAAACTCTATTTCCTTTCCTTTCCTTTATTTTATTGTATTTATTTAAACCTGTGATTTCTCTGCATCCTCTTATTCCTTTACTAAAGAATTTGGTACTTACTTGGGTGTCTGAGGAAAAAGATGCCATTTGGTTGAAACACGAATATAGGAGCAGGACAACCTGAAAAAAAAAATAGTAATGAAAATCCAGGTCTACAGATACTGAATCTTTGCTGTGCTAGGTATTTCTGGGAAACAAAAGCAGAAATAAGGCGTATCATTATGCAGGAATTATAGGGGCACATGCAGAATTTTGTAGGATCACACAGGAGGCAGAGTAATCATGCTCACGGAAGACGACTGTGTTTATTGGAGGAACTGGTAAGAAACAAGCTGGTAGGAAGACTTATTAAGCGAGTGTCATGGAAAAAACAAATATTGCAAAAAGTCATTTAAAGAAACCAGTAGATTAAGTCACTAGGCACTAATGAAAAATTACCTTTGTGGAGATGACAAACGTTTAAGCACTAAACAAATCGAGAAAGGCCTTGTGAAAACTAATGAAGGGAAACCTCACTAGAGTCTGGAGGGAGGCAGTGGGAGTCAAAGCATTCCTCTGCAATTACCGGAAGAAGTGTCAGTTACAGACCCCAACAGAAGAAACCTCGAGAAGAAAGAATCATCACAGTCCCTCACACAGAAAAGACGCACACTGCGTCTTCTATAAGAAAACAACTACCCCTGCAACTTAGCTGCTGAGAAACCATGCTTTTCTCTAACGAACTTTAGACTTGCCTTCAAAACAATCCGTTCCAAATTCTTCCTGCTTCTCAAAAAACATGCTGTTCCTCTTCTTTGTTGGATGTGCCTATGGTTTTTCAGCAGCTCCTGTGTCCCAAATTACAACTCTCCACTATTCCTGAATAAACCCATTTTTATGGCCAAATTACTGTTTTATTTTTAAGATTAAAAATTTTTTTAATGTTTATTTTTGAGAGAGAGAGAGAGAGAGAGAGAGAGAGAGACAGCATGAGTGTGCGAGGAGCAGAGAGAAAGGGAGACACAGAATCCAAAGCAGGCTCCAGGTTCTGAGATGTCAGCACAGAGCCCTACATGGGGCTCGAACCCATGAACCGTGAGATCATGACTTGAGCTAAAGTCTGATGCTTAACTGACTGAGCCACCCAGGCGCCCCTTATTTTTAAGATTCACAGGCTTTGTAAAAAAAATTAGTCCTGGGGTGGCTCAGTCGGTTAAGCAACTGACTCTTGGTCTCAGCTCAGGTCTTGATCTCAGGGTTATGAGTTCAAGCCCCATGTTGGGCTCCATGGTGGGTGTGATGCCTACTGAAAAAAAAAAAAAAAGTCCTGAATAAAATCAAATGCTGTGGGCTGAAGACAGCAACTTTTTTCATGGTGTACAGCACCAACATTCTTGTTTTTCACTCCCAGAAAACTTTTTCTAGATTACTTTGTTATTGCAGCAAAAATAGCATCTAGTGAGTGAAATCACAAGCAATTGCTTCCATACTCAACTGAAAATATAGAAAATAACTGGAAGACCTTTTTTTTTTTAATTCTGCGGAAAGTAAACAAGTGTAACTAAATAAGGGCTGGTTTGGGACAATTTGTACATTACAGGATTCCAGTGTTTATTAGGCTAGCGGCTAAAGGTATTTTCTTTTAATCAGGCTTCGTGCCCAGCATAGAGCCCAACATAGGGCTTGAACTCACCACCCTGAGATCAAGGGTCAGATGCTTAACCCAAAGAACCACCCATGCACCCCTAAAGGTGTTTCCTTTGAACAAACTCATTATTTTCTTTTAAATCCATCCTCATTACCCATACCATAGATAACTAAGTTCACAATTTTGCTATATACTGACTGAGGCTCTTTTTATTTATTTACTTATTAAAAATTTTTAATGTTTATTAAAAAAATTTTTTTTAATGATTATTTATTACTGAGAGAAAGAGAGAGAGCACAAGGAGGGGAAGAGCAGAGAGAGGGGGAGACAAAGAATCCGAAGAAGGTTCCAGGCTCTGAGCTGTCAGCACAGAGCCTGATGCAGGGCTCCAACCCACCGGCTGTGAGATCATGACCTGAGCTGAAGTCAGACGCTTAACCGACTGGGCCACCCAGGCACCCCTAATGTTTATTTATTTATTTTCCTAATGTTTATTTTTGAGAGAGAGTGCGCGTGAGCGCGTGTGAGCGTTTGTGAGCGGGGGAGGGGCAGAGAGAGAGGGAGGCACAGAATCAGAAGTAGGCTCCAGGCTCCCAGCTGTCAGCACAGAGCCCGATGTGGGGCTCGAACTCACAAGCTGTAAGATTACGACCTGAGCTGAAGTCAGACACAACTGACTGAGCCACCCAGGCGCCCCCAAGGCTCTTTTTAAAATAAACAAATGTTTAAATGGTGGAGCTCATTCCATACAAACTATCTAAATTCAAACCTACAGTTTCTAAGGGCTGGGAGATCAGAAAAAGGGCCAGTAGCTCTTCTCCTTCTCAAACTTCATCTGTGTGTAACTTTAGTTGCAAACAGCAACCCTAGATACAGGACACTCTGAAAAATGGCATGCCTTCGTTTCCACCTAAAACCATTAAAAGAAAGTAACCTTTTACAATCATTCTATTTATGCCTCAATTTCTAAACCTGAGTACTTCGCTGGGAAAATGTGGAGTTAAAGATGCCTAAGGCTATTTCACCCTCATTTTGAAAACACAATCTTTTCTGTTTCCGAGTAATGGTATACTTTATGTGTTACATTACGGAAACCTGAACAGGGAGGGTTAACCAAATACCATTTGGACTTTAAAAGTAGCTTGAAACATCTCCCAACCGTTCAGTTCTAGTGCAGAAATCTGCATTCTGACCTGAATTCAAGATGGCCTGCTAGCTGCAGTCCCAATTTTAATATTTCATCATGCAAAAAACTTCCATTTAGAAAACACTGCAGTTCTTTAGTCTTCTTACTATAAACCACACGTCCGTGGTATGGTATGGTTAAGATATTCACTTGTGCACTAAGCAGCCTCCTCCAAAGTACAAGCATAAACTGCAGGAAGCAAGGAGTCAGAGATGGCCAAATATTTTTGCAAAACGTGAGTTTCTTTTACCCAGTACTCTCCGGAGTATCTTAAAAAAAAAAAATTCAGCTAAAAAAGAAGTGCCATTTGCTCTAGCAATGACAATGCTGGAGAGACACTGACGAACCCCACGCAAGGAGCAAACACCTTCATCCGTGCCCCGTGCAGCTTCTGGCACCTGACGACCACACCCACGCCGATTCCCGCCCCTCGGCCCCGCCCATCGCTGATGCGGGTCGCCGGCGCGGTCACCGTACAGCGGTCCCTACTGCACGTAAACTTCCGGCTCCGCGGAAACGTCATCCCTGGATTCAGTGGGGAGGTCCCCGGGGCGGTACCGGAAGTGACGCAGGGGCGCGCCCTCCATTTTGTGGAACGCAGGAGCAGCTAAGTGCGTCAGTTTTGGAAAGACGTAGACGAGTTTAGTCCTGGTTTGCGGGGAGGCAGACGGCTCCGTCGCAGACTACGGACCTCTCTGGTCTCTCAGCTGCCAAAGATCCTGTCCGGTAGGTGAGTGACTCACTTTGAGGGAAAGGCTTCTCGGATCGAGGCTTCTTCATGGCCGCTCAGATCGTGAGTGGCCAGGGCTGCTCTCTTTGCGGAGGACGGCGTCCAATGAGCGCAGTTTATTCGAGGTGGGCGCTGGGGCACGTCTCCCTTTGGGTACTGTTTGAGGGGAACTGAAGGTGGAAGGGCGGTCGTGGTTATGGTCATTTTTACACAGGGGTCTATGCTCCTCCCTGCCTCCTTACCTCTTCACTACCCGAACCCCCCGAGTTTGGGCGGAGACCTTTGCTCGGGGGTGTGGCTAGGGTTTTCTGTGGGAGGGCACGATGACTCCGGAACTATGGAGTCGTGGGAGGGGGTGGGAGGAGGGCGTTTGGCACGCGCGGCTCTCCCCTACCGCTGTCTCCGCCGCCGCCGCCGCCATTTTGTGGCTGCCGGCGTCCGCCCGCCGCCGTTTGCGCAGGCGCGGCGGTGGCGTCGCGAGATTCCGGCTTCCACCCGCTGTGACGCTCCTGGGAGGCGGCGACGCGCGCGCGGCCCATCACCATTGGGCTGGCCTTGCGGAGGGCGGGGTCGGCTCCGCCCGCACTTCTCGGCCTTTCCTAACTGCGGCAGATGGGAGGGGGCCAGAAGAGCCAGGGAGAGAGTGCGGCTGCGCAGTTCCAGAGGCGGCAGTGGGCGTTGCGGTTGCTGCGGTCTGGGCCCAGGGAAGGATCGTGTTGGGAGCCGAGTTTTAATTTTGTCTGCAAGGGACCTGGCCTAATAAGAGGCACTCTTGGCAATCTTGTTTATAACATCACCGGGTAAACATTTTATTTTATGCCGTTTATGTTTTTGGCCCCTTAACTAGGCATTCTTCTGACATTCACTGGTATTGTTTCAATCGAATCATTTTCTAACAGGAAATACTAGCCGGATATCATGAGTGGCTGTCGAGTATTCATCGGGAGGCTAAATCCCGCGGCCAGGGAGAAGGACGTGGAAAGATTCTTCAAGGGGTATGGACGAATAAGAGATATTGATCTGAAAAGAGGCTTTGGTTTTGTGGTAAGTGTTTTAGAACTACCGTTAAGTCGCTAAAGATTTTGATGAGCAGTGTGTTTTGATTTTACTGAGTTCAGGTAGGGTATCTTTGGAAAACTTTGTATGTTCTTAGAGCAGTGAATTTTCTTGAGGGATAACCTCGCTGTTGGTTGGAGGGAAACCACTCCTGATCGCTGTCTTTAAAATAGTCATTCTGTCACACGTTTGCAGTGCTCTTACTATGTTGTAGAATATATCTTAGAGCCACATTAAGCAGGGGGTCGGTTTGTTTGTTTTTTTTCCCCCATGTTTACATTTTAGGAATTTGAGGATCCCAGGGATGCAGATGATGCTGTATATGAACTTGATGGAAAAGAACTCTGCAGTGAAAGGTGAGAACGTTAGTTTTGTAACCAGTTAGCACCGTAAGATGGACAAGATCAGCTGGGATATTTTTCAAAGTCGAGCTCTTGTGGCTTGTGTGGAGATAACAAAGTCTTTTTTCCCCCCTTCCTGTAGGGTTACTATTGAACATGCTAGGGCTCGATCTCGAGGTGGAAGAGGTAGAGGACGCTATTCTGACCGTTTTAGTAGTCGCAGACCTCGAAATGATAGACGGTATGTGATAGATGGTGGATGGCTGCTTTGAACAATCTTTACCGCAGGAGGAGCTTTTAATGTTTAAGAACCATTAGCAATAAGTGATTCTGGTACTTACTGAGTAATCGTTTCTCCTTTTCATATGTTAATCCACTGTTCCTGATTAGTGCGTGTAGTAAGTCCTGTAAAATAATGTAGAAACTTGATGGGAGTCCTTTGAATGACTTGTTCCGTCTCGTTGCTTGAACTTGTCCACAGTCGAACACAGTAGGTGCACACTGCTGCATTTCTTCCATTGTGAGTACTCATTTTCTTCCTCAGAAATGCTCCACCTGTAAGAACAGAAAATCGGCTTATAGTTGAAAATTTATCTTCAAGAGTCAGCTGGCAGGTTTGTTGAAATACAGTTTTGAGCTATTTTAATGTGGCTTTTTAAAAATTAATGGGTAGTTAATGTTTTATTATGTTTTATTAAAAGTAATTTTATCTTTAATTAATTTTAAAATGGATTTAATTGTAATTTTAAAATTTTAATTAAATGTAATTGGGGGATATTTCAAACTTTAATAATTAGTGATCAAATGTTTAATGTTTTGAGGATATATTTTCTTGTTTATTAAAATCAATTTTAACCAAATATTAAACCCTTTATTTGCCAGCCTATCTGTGTCGTTGGCCTTATGACGAGGAGTGCCTGTGGGTTATCCTAATCGTTGTCTTGGTCACTCTTGGTTGGGCCTGGTTGACTTTGCCAGTCAGCTCCTACAGTGATCAATTGGCCACCTCTAGATCTGTGTTTGCCGGTCTAGACGTAATCGGTGCACTTAACTTGAAGTGCCAGGTTGCAGCGATCCCAGAGCGTTGATAACGTGATCTGATCCCTAAGTTGAGAGCGGTCTTCCTGTAACGCTTCCGAATAAGAGGTCCTGGTCGAAAAGAGTTGAAAGATACGAAATTAGGTGGTCGTTGGAATCCTGATCGCAGTAAAGTGTTCCTTGGTAACTGCACAAGAGTAGAACATGTCTGCATCCGCCTGTAGTCTGCTAATAGGGAGGGCTGTGCGATTAAAGGCTTCCATCGATTGGGTAGTGTCCTTCAAGTGGGTGGCGAAGAGCCAGTCGGGCATATGTCATGAAGGTTTCTCCGACCGATTAACGGTTTGCTGCTTGACTAGCCTAGGGAAATAATAATAAAGGTAAAGTAAACTTTTTTAATGACATATGGGGCACAAAATAACTGGTGTCTTGTAAATGTTCTGTTTTGTTTTTTTAATATAAAATTTCTACTTTAGTCTTTACTTTTAAAATATGTACTGTTTCTTTTTGTTTCTTTTGTTTTGTTTTTTGTTTTGCTTTTTTTCTTATGTATTGAGCTCAGTATAGACTAATACTACTTTAATGTTAAGATCTGAATTTCCTCTAGCATTTTGCTTAAAAGCAATATGCTTTTTTGCTTATTTCGTGCCCTGACCTAGATAATTTTTCAATTCTGATAGAATACAAGTGTGGTAAATGCCATGTTTGTACTTTATCTAACATCTTCTCTTCCAGTAGTCTTGTTTTTTATACCATGTGGTTGTTTGTGTGTCACATCGCCTTTTCTTTGCTTGACACGATTGTCTTGTGTTAAGGATCTCAAAGATTTCATGAGACAAGCTGGGGAAGTAACCTTTGCGGATGCACATCGACCTAAATTAAATGAAGGGTGAGTGTGTATTGGAGATCATAACCGCCTTTTAAAACCTACTGAAAATTTTACTGGGGATTTTTTTAGAGAACATAAAATTTGGACATGCTGTAGTGCAGTGGTTCTCAATCCAGGAGGAGTTTGCTCAGTAGGGAGCACTGGACAACAGTTTTGGTGGTTGTAACTGGTTGAGGTCACTACTGGCATCTGGGTAGAGGCTAGGGATGCTGCTAAACTTCTGATGGTGCATAGGAAATCCTTCCACAACTGAGAATTAAAAATTGCAGTTGTTTGGAAAGGTTGAGAAACCTTGTTGCAATGCTGTTCTCCATTAAGATCTAAGACAATGTAGTATTAACAAAAGGTGCATGGAGAAGGTATTGTAGTTTGCTGTGTGTAGTGTAAGATTAGGCTATAACATGTATGTACCTTTATAAAGGGCTTTTTTTTTTTTTTTTTTAATTGTAGGGTGGTAGAGTTTGCCTCTTATGGTGATTTAAAGAATGCTATTGAAAAACTTTCTGGAAAGGAAATAAATGGGAGAAAAATCAAATTAATCGAAGGCAGCAAAAGGCACAGGTATCTCTTTAACATTTTTAAGACAAAGTTTTAGTTAATAGGTTTGTAGGGACTGCCTCTTATGTTGTATTTTTCCTCCCTTCCTAGTAGGTCACGAAGCAGGTCTCGTTCCCGAACCAGGAGTTCCTCTAGGTCTCGTAGCCGATCTCGTTCCCGGAGTCGCAAGTCTTACAGCCGGTCCAGGAGCCGGAGCCGGAGCCGGAGCAAGTCCCGTTCTGTTAGTAGGTCTCCTGTGCCTGAAAAGAGCCAGAAACGTGGTTCTTCAAGTAGATCTAAGTCTCCAGCATCTGTGGATCGCCAGAGGTCCAGGTCCCGATCCCGGTCAAGGTCCAGATCAGTTGACAGTGGCAATTAAACTGTAAATAACTTGCCCTGGGGGCCTTTTTTAAAAACACACACACAAAAATTCCCAAACCATACTTGCTAAAAATTCTGGTAAGTATGTGCTTTTCTGTGGGGGGGGTTGGGGGTGGGATTTGGAGGGGGGTTGGGTTGGGCTGGATATCTTTGTAGATGTGGACCACCAAGGGGTTGTTGAAAACTAATTGTATTAAATGTCTTTTGATAAGCCTTCTGCTCACATTTTTGTGAATGTCTGAAGTGTATAGTTTGTGTATATTGAGAGAGCTCTTTTATAACTAAAGCAAATTTAATTTTTTTGTACTAGAAAAGATTTGAACATTTTAGTTCTTGGTTATTCAAATATGTTAATTCAGAATTAGTTTAATGCCTCAATTAAACTAATTAATAGCTTTGGACACTTAAAAGAGCTCTAAATTTGCTTGTACATAAAGGCTTGAGTTTTCCTTGTTAGGGTCAAGGGTGTCCTCCCACCCACCCTTTAACAGCTGCCTGACGACACGTTAAAGCAGCTGTTTGTTATTGATAATAAAAGATTATAAAACTGCTTTTGTCTGTCTGTCTGAAGGACGAATGCGGTTTACTCCTCCCTCCCCATCTACATTCAGCACATTTAAAATGCCTTTATAGAGAATCCTGGAGTTTTGTGTGGTGGGTTTTTTAAATTTTTTGAAAATTTAAATCTTGCCAAATCTAGTCAAAACTGGGGCAGAGAAGACCGTGAACTGTTCAAAATAATGGTAACTGTTGTTTTGGTTTCCTGTGTGTGACCTTCCATGCTCTTTCTCTTTATTACTGTATTGTATCGACATCAGGTTGTTTAGGCTTCCGTAGCCAAGAGAACGATAATTTGGGAAGGAAATTATAAAAATTGTTTTTATGTGTTGTATGTAATTTTGAAGGTCAGAGGTGATCACAGCTTATTTTAACTCCACGTACAAGAGTGCTTTAAGAGGTTTCGTGTTTCTTGCTTTCAATGCTGTGACGTGGGTGTGACCGTATGTTAAGGGGAAGACCGTTTACTAGAGAAGACTGCTGAAGGTTCTACACCCGTTTTTGTTCTGGGAGCCTATATGTGTAGATGATGAGCGCTGTTAATAGTCTCTTCTAGGACTCTCTAGAGACTAAGATTATCTTGGTCCCATGCAGGAGTGCTGAGTTGGATAAATGGGAGCAGTGAGTGACACGTAGTAGCCAGATACTCTGACAGTTGTCATCCCTGTGTGTTCTTGAATCTCAGTTACTTCCTACATACAAGAACGCATCTTCTAGGAGCGAAATTGGGGCCAAAGAAGAGCAAGTAAGTGGTGAACTAGTATGGGCATTGGAGTCCAGTTCCCCAGAACCCAAGCACCACGTTTTCTTAGTGTAGACAAATCTGCCTTAGCCTTGCAGGGGTTTTTTGAGGAAAACAGTTGGAAGTACCAATTGGCTTTCCAAAAGTGTGGGCATTGGGTAGTGGGACTCCATTTGGGGGGACAGGTTTGAAAGGTTTTTGGTATACATTTGCTTCTCATACCCCAGACTAGAAATTGAGGCCAGAAAATGGGAAGCCGAACCTTCTACCATGAATGAGATGGATTTTAGGGAGAGTTTAGTAAGCTCGTTTGTTTACTGAGGTGGAGGCATGTGGAAATCAGTGGAACCTAGATTTTTTTTTTTTTTTTTTTTTTTAAAGATTTTATAAGTAATCTTTGCACCCAACGTGGGGCTTGAACTCTGAACGAGGTCAAGTCGTGTGTTCCACCAGCTGAGCCAGCCAGGCGCCCCGGGTTCTTTTATTGGGTTGCTTCGGAAGGCTGCAAGTCCACCAGAAGTTAATGTCAAATGGAAAGAGACAATTTTTTTGTTCTTAGGTATGATAGATGTAACTGGGTAGTATGGTGTAGATACTTCTTGATATTTTAACAGTTGACTCTATTCTGATAGTTTTTCAGTAAATGATAGCCGTGGCTTACCATTTTAATATGAACAAACATTTGTTACACGGTGAAGCAATAAAATATAAGGCCCTTTGAGCAAATGGGAGGTGACTGGGAGTTAATTTGAACCAGCAAATAAACCTGAATTCCCAGATCCAAGACCTGAGAAATAGAGGAGTGTGTTATTCTAAGCAAATTTAGGGCCAGAGTTTGTGGGACATGTGTTAACTTTTTTCTTTATATGTTCCTTTTATCTAGTCCTTTAAAAGGACAATTTGAGGGTAGTAGGTCCCAAGTCCAGCCTTCCTTTCATGGAAAAACTATTCTGCTTAACCAAGTTTAAGGTGATGTCGGCTGGGTGGTAGACAAAATCATTTGAACAGTTAAGTTTAAGAGAATATGTAAAAGTGGTAGGTGGATAGACCTTTTCACAGATTAAGAGCATGTTAGTGACCCAAACTGGTGATTCTTAAACTTACTGTGGTATTGGGAGTACTGGTGGTCTTGGACATTGGCCAGACGCTGCCTTAAAATTAACTTGGGTTTACAGTCAGTTGAACTTAATCATACTGAATGGCATGAAAATCTTAATTAGGCACGGTCTGCTATTTGCAAGGATGAGATGTTCATGAATCTAACGATTGTATATCAGCATTACGTAAAGCATTTCATAGGAAATTTGAAATTTTAGAAATCTAATTTAAATGGAGAAACGACCCCTTTTGCAGTAGCTTGCAGCTCTCTGAGTTTTGAGGGGATATAATAGGAAAACCACTGATAGCTCATGAATTGATGGGCTAGACTTTTAGATTAGTGGGCAGTTCTGTTGGTTGTGTTTTCTTGTTTCCTGGCTTTCCCCCTCTACTTCGATGGTATTCTCCAGAAATGTCCGTTCATTTCATTACGACTGAGATTTTGAACCAGTCTTGTTTAATTGCATTTGCATTCTATGTCTGTTTTTTGTACATGTAGTATCACATTGGTGTTTTTAGGAGCTTTAATCCATCCCCAAATAGGATTTCAAAAGGGAAGGAATGAGAAATTTTAAGGTTAGAAAGGACTTCTGAAGTTTAAATCTGGGAGCACTGAGCATTTATTTCCCTCTTCTGTCACAAAAGTTGGAACAGGATTTGGATATTTGATTTTAGGTAAAAGTTCCTATTTGTTGCCTAGTTGAGAAATTGCCTTTCATATGCCTATGGAACGCTTCGGAGATGCAGAGGCAAAAGGCAGTTTTGGTTTTTGCCTTCATAGGACTGTCATTGAAGAATTTTTATTTATTTTTCAGTTTTTTTATTTTTTTGAGAGGGGGTGTCACAGAGAGAATCCCACGCAGGCTCTGTACTGACAGCATGGCACCTAATGCCAGACTTGAACTCCCAAACCATGAGATCATGACCTGAGCTAGCATTAAGAGTTGGATACTTAACTGACTGAGCCACCCAGGCACCCCACAAGTCTTTATTTTTTAAACAGGTATCAACTTTTAAGCTGGGGCTAGGCAAGGCTCTTCAGGTAGACTCCCTCTGTGTCCTCCCACCAGGCAAGGTTTGTCAGTTCTGATAGTTTCTGCTGGCAGTGCTGGAGAAAGACTCTCATTTCTGGTGTTGCTTTCATCTTTTTACTCTATCACACTGGCTTTCTGAAATATCCTCTGACCAGAATCCAGTCCCCTGGGGGAGCTAGGCTGTGCAAGGGGAGCATTCCTCCCCTTTGTGGGTGCCATTTCCTAGAGCTCCTGGAATTGTGTCTTCAGTTGGAGCAGCTGTGTAGGTCATTTTTGTTTTATCTGGAAAGTTGAAGAGGGTCAAGGGTGGGGAAGGAGAGTAACTGTTAATAAAAAAGCTTATTCAGTGGAAGACAGCACATCCTAGGGGTTAAGTTGTATTCTATATGTTTTTGTGTGGTTCCCCCCCCCACCCCCATCTCTTACCGTGCATCCTTCCATTACTTTAATTTTTTTTTTTAAGTTTTGTTTATTTTGAGAGCATGAGCATGGGAAGGGCAGAGAGAGGATTCCAAGCAGGCTCTGCACTATCCACACGCAGCCTGATGGGGGCCTCAAACTCACAAATCTAGAGACCATGACCTGAGCCAAAATCAGAAATCGGACACTTAACTGACTGAGCCACCCAGGTGCTCCCTCCCATGACTTAATTTTGCTTTCCCTTGAACATTCCTAATGGTAATACTACCAATCAATCTAATAAATTATTGACTCTTAAATCACTTCCTCTCCAACTTCTTGGTACAGACAGTGCAGTGGAAGAGTTTACGTTCAGCCGAATGGACTTGCGTTCTGCAAGGAAGCGCAGGGAGGAGATAGCTTTAAGAGGTCTTCTAAGTGTGGAGTTTCCATGGCCCCCTCATTGTATTTGGCCTAGCCCTTTTTCCGCCTGTATGGAGGTGGTGAGGAGTCGTGGTCATAGGAGTCGGGATTCACCTATCTTGTCCCCATTTTTGTAGAAGATACAGGGCTCAGAAGCATGAAAAGTTGTGCATCTCCCCCCTCAGCACAGCCGCATCAGCCCTTACAGTGCACTGGCTCTGAAGAGGGTCTTAAGTGTGTTGTAGCCCTGCAAACTTGGGAACGTGGTTGGTTAGTTTAGAAAATTCCACTTCTCACTGCTTTTGCAAGAGGGTGGAGATTTCAGCCTACACAGGCAACAGATTTGAGTCACTTTCAGGTGAGCATTAGAGGAGGTTCTTTTCCACAACACTGTAGTTTTGAACAAACGCAAAGTTCTGAAGTATGCTCAGCTACTTAACTGGTTTCTTTTTGGCTGCTTGATACAGTTATATGCTAATTGTTTGTTTGCTTTTACTACCAGAAGATAATCACCAGGGGAAGTTGTCTCCTATGGTCTAAGTCCATCCCCAGGGTGTAGAAAACATCTTGAAGGAGCCCTCAAGTTCATGGGAAATGAAGGATTTGAGTGGTTAAGAATATACTTTATAATATGAATATAATACGTTTAGAATTATAAAATACTGAAAATGTCATTCCAAATAAAGTTTCCTGACTTGAAAAAAAAAAGACATTAACGATCCACTTGAAGGGACTTAGTGGGTTGCCTGGAGGTTTATTATAGTTTAAAGAGAATGCAGAATGCTCTGAGCATCTTAGAGGAGGTGCTGTTTAGAAAGTAATTCAATAGTGATCAGGTTTTAAAGTATCAAACTATTGTGATAGCTATTTAATAAGCTTATATTTAAGTTTTATTTACTGTGTAACCAGAGTTGGGAGTCTTTTTTTTGATTTTGGCTAATTCGATTGCATTGCTTCAATATGTTTTTCTTCATAAAGGAGTACCAGTGGTACTGTGGTCTGACCTGGTTCTAGGACCGGAGAACCTAGTCCTAGGAAACACTGCATTTTCCAGATTGTGAATAGGGGCATTTCACACAACTAACACCTCATAGCTATTTAATATCCAAGACCATTTCTTCATCCTGAGTCTTCCATGGCCTCCCCTTTGCCTTACTCCCATAAGTGCAAAGTCTGTCCACAGTTGATTCTCCTAGCTAGAAGGCAGAGATGGAGTGGAGTTGTAAGAAGAGCCTTGGCTCTTTGAAGTCCCTTTGTACTTCTTGGTGCTACCTGGTTCCTAGTGACTTGATAGGAGTTGAAGCCCCTTGCAAAGGTCCCTGCCAGAGACTCACCTCCTGGAAAGGATCAGGTCGGTTATGGGAGAACCCAAAGGAGAATGATTCAGTACTCACCTTTGGAAGGCTTGATTTTCTCATAGCAACGAAAGATGGAGATGAGAAGAACCCCTTCTCCAAGCTGGAAAATCATGTAGAGGAGAGGGAAGAAGAAAAGTGGCCCAATGACTTGAGGGGGGAACGTCACATTGAGAATGGTAGAACAAAGTTGAACGTTTTGGCATCCAGTTTCCATGCTGACAGTGCGCCTGCACCTGTGTTAGGTTCAAAACAAAGCAACCCTATATGCCCTCAGAAGGGACAGAAGGGTACGACACTGGCCCTTCTCCCTCCTAAATCACCCAAGACCCATTGAATGAACGTGGAAGTCAGTGGTGACTAGTAGTTTTGTGGCCGGGAGTTCTCGTGAGAATTTTTGAGCAGCTTGGGGGTTTCACCATTTGCTTCTGCAGGACTACCAGATTAAAATTGGGAGAATGGCTGGCTGATGAGGGATGAAGGGAAGATGTGAGCCACTATCCTTCATTGGCTTGTATGTTGGGTTTACACACAGGGCAGTTGCAGTGTGAACATACAGAAGATGATCTGAAATGCTTGGGCCCCTTGTCCAGTTCCCTAGTTTATGGTTTGGGTATCTTTGAGTCCAAAACACTTCATGATTAAAAACCAAACTTGGTTCAGCCCCGATATCTTTGGAACATATTCATGGTTTTGCTCTCGTTTTATGGACTTAAAGAACAGTTACCTGGGTGGCTCAGTCTGTTAAGCATCTGACTCTTGATTTTGGCTCACGTCATGAACTCTCGGTTCGTGGGATCAAGCCCCGCATGGGCTCTGTGCTCACAGCGAGGAGCCTGCTTGGGATTCTCTCTCCGGCCCCTCCTGTCCCTCTTACTTTCTTAAAACAAACATTAAAAAGGGGAGGGGGGATGGGATGTTTACATCTAATGAATACATATTTAATTCATGGAGTTGTGGTCAGTGTCTTACCAGAAATTCTGAAAACACGTTTATTAGGGGGAGACTACCGTGATGGCCCCTGATTGTGTGGCCATTTATTACCTGTCACTCTTAAAACAATGTACAGTAAGTCATTGACAGCCTTTTGACTCAACTGTATAACCACATGCTACATATGTTCTACAGTAATTTTTTATTAGTGTGTTTTTTTAAAATGGGTAACTTTATAAGTTTTATTTTTAAGGCAGTGTTTTTTTTGGGGGGGGGGGGGATACTAGAGTGCTACTAATGTTCAGACTCCAGCAGCATTTGTCTAGGGCTGATAAGAGGCAAAGTTCCTGAAATGTGCTACTCTAGACAGGGTCTCTATCCCACACCAGATTGTCAGGCTGACTGTCCCTGCAAGTAGCCCCTGAGTTTGAAATTGGATTAAACTCAGCAGAGGTCCACAACCACTAAAGCTCTTAGGACCACTTAGCAGAGCTGTCACCCAGTGGTGTCCTTGTCAAGACTGAAGCCTAGGCAGAAAGGGCGGAAGAGTGGGGAAGGAGGAATATTAACACTTAACCACGATGGCATGGAACTGCTCCAGTGTTGTTACCTACCAGATTTCAGCAGGAGGTGGAGCCTAGGCTCTGGAGGGAGCACTTTGTCATGAGCTCTTTGGGGTATTAGATGCTCTTGTTCCTAAGCCATTCGATACCTTATCTCCAATATGTCTCCGAGTCTAGGGTTCCTGGTTCAGTGGGTGCATTTGCACATACTGCCAGGAAAATGCCTCTCCTAGGTTTTGGGTCTCCTTTTCCTGAGAGACCAGGACAAGAATGAGGCCGATGGAACACAGAGGTCTAAACCAATACTTACCGTCCATTGAGGCGGAAGAGAGCAGAGAGGATGTAGCCCAGCAGGAAGCCGATGAAAGGCATCAGGGAGGAGGTGGCCAGCAAGTGTGGTGTCATGACAAACATGATACTCTTGCCCACATTGATGACCGAGAGCGCTATGATGGCCACACTTAACAAAAGCATGGTGATGGTCCCTCCCTGTAAATGAAAACAGGAAGAAAAGGCAATTAGGGTGGTGGGGGATGGGGAGGGGCAGAGTGACGAGCATGCATGGTGGGTATCAGAGGTGGAAACCAAGGGAGTGCAAAAAACCCTTTTATCTCCCATCTATTTGGAATTCCTAATCAGTAGCTAGGAAGCTTCTTGGAGGACAGAGACCTAATAATTAACATTCTTGTTACTGTTGACTTAGAAAAGAGCCAGATGTTTACCAGCAAAATTAATTTATTTGGAAATAGAGGAAGTTCAGTTTGGGACAAGCAAGCCATGGCGAACCATAGGCAAGTCCTGAGTACACGGGACAGGGACTTGCTTTTAGAGAGGAAAAGAAGCCGGGAGGGTCTGCTTCATGCAGTTCTCCTTGGCTGGGCTATTGCTGGGAAGGAGAAATACTTCCTCGTGCTGGGGTATGTAAAGTAAGCTTTCCATTAGGCCAGTGGTAGTGTATGAGAGCTTTCCCTTCAAGACTTCCAGGTTCCATTTCATATGAGATTTTCTTTGCACATTTGTCCCCCTCTTTTTAAGTTTATTTTGAGTGAGCATGTGCATGGGGAAGGCACAGAGCAAGGGGGGGAGAGAATCCAAAGCAGGCTCCTTGCTGACAACGATGGGGGGCTCAAACTCCCGAACCGTGAGATCATAACCTGCCAGAGTCAGAGGCTTAACCGACTGAGCCACCCAGACACCCCACGTTGTTCCCTTTCGATCAAGATCTTTCTTCAGAAACATCGCTGATGAAGAGTCTGTGTATTCACTAAAGTGGCTTTGTCTCTCACTGCCAGGAAGGGTTTTTCCCGGTTGTCCTGTCCCACGTTGGAAAGTGCTTAGATTGGGAACTGTTGAGGCCACATGAGTACCAAGGAAGGGTGTGAGGGAGAACTCTGAGGCATTTCCCATCTGAGGTCTATATATTGTCAAGATGGAAGGCTTTGGAGAGCATCTTGTCTGAGCTAATACCTCCCTATTGGTGTGCCCCTCCTGTAGAGAGAGGTACAGAGTTGAAAAACTTCAGTCTTGCCATTTGTCCACAACCTGCCGCTGAGACCGGAGACCGTAGGTAGTTGCTTCTTCATAGGTCACTGCGTTTTTTGTACCACCTGACTTCACTGAAGCCATGTGCTGAATGTCCATTTCGTGGGCAGCCAATCAAATCAGCTTGCCGGTGACCCAGGAGATGACCTGGCTCGCGCTTCCCACAAAGGTGGCCACAGCTTGCTGAAATGACCGAACAAATCAGATTCTCTCGTTAAGGGAGTTTGAGGAACTACAGCGAGGGAAGCCGGAGCAGAGGCAAGTGTTAAAAGACCCAGCACCCTGGCAGCAGTGTAAGCCATAGGTTGGCAGACGCCGTGAGACGGGTGAGGCAGTTCACCAGTAGCAGCAGGTACGGGAAAAGCATAGGTGGACTGGCTGAGTCACTCGAACAGCGAGTGACTTCCTTATTTAAGGGAGGTGGATGGCTTGTGGTAAAAGTGGCTTGTCGACCAGGTCATGCTGAGGTTCATCGACCTAACCACACGGACTCGAATAAGCCCTTGCCTAGGTAAGTTAAAGTATTACTTGAATTGCCGTTCCAAATAGAGCATCCAAGAAATTGTATCTTGGCATTATCTACGTGTGACCTCCCACTGGGTAATGTGTTTACGAGCAGATACCTTTTGCCAGAGCCAGTTAGAAATTGGGTGATTTTGATTTGAAAGTCTCTAGGGGGCGCCTGGGTGGCTCAGTTGGTTAACGGTCTGACTTGGCTCAGATCATGGATCTCGCAGTTTGTGGTTTGAGCCCCGCATCGGGCTCTGTGCTGACAGCTTGGAGCCTGGAGCCTACTCCGGATTCTGTGTCTCCCTCTCTGCCCCTCCCCGCTCATGCTCTGTTTCTCTGTCCATCTCCCTCTCTCAAAAATAAATATTAAAAATATTTTAAATTCTGAGTTAAGAAGGAGATATATTCTTATATTAGTTGTGACTAACTATGGTCCTTGGCTTCTTCACCTATAAGATGAGGAAGAACAGAGTTGGATTAAATGATTATCAGAGGTCACTTCACATTTTTACATTTTTTTTTTCTTTTTAGTATTCCTATACCTCCACAAACTATCTTGAATAAAATTAAGTGATAGACACAAACATTTCTGGGTTTTTCTTCCCCTGCTAATGTGGGGAGTGGTCCAGGCAGAGGGAAGGACATGTGCAAAGAGAAAAGAGCTAACACTTGATGGGGGGGTGGTGGGTGGTTGGCTTTAGCAAATCAAGAAGAGCCGGGGAGGCTACATAAGGGGATTGAAAGTTTATCCTGCAGAGAGTATGGAACCAGGGAGGTGTTTTAAGCAGTGGAGAGACATGACAGTTTGTTCTTTCCATCTCCATCCTCAGGTTGAACCTGATCGAGGAGCCAGGTTCGAAGGCCGTTTCAGTTGTGAGAGAGGATAGTGGCCCAAGTGACAGTAGTGTTGTCACAGGTGGAGAGGAATAGATGGATCCAAGTGAGCGACAGCAGAATAGCCAATCACCTCTTCAGGTGAATGTGACAGGGAATGGAGAGGACATTGAAAAAGACCAAACGGTTTTGTGGCTTAGTCAGCTGGGCACATGGAATGCCATTCTTAGAGATAATAACGGGGAGGAGATGGCTTTAAGACATACTGACCATATATAAGTGTTTGGTGTGTCTGTGGGAAGTGACTGCAAGAATTTTCTGTGCCACCATCTTGAACCACCTTTCATTTATTATGACTTCTACAAGCTAAAAACCTTTTTTGCACAGTGAAGGAAACAACAAAACTAAAAGAAGAGATTTGCAAAATGACATAACTGATAAAGGGTTAGTATCCAAAATCTATAAAGAACTTCTCAAACTCCACACCCAAAAACCAAATGATCCAGTGAAGAAATGGGCAGAAGACACAAATAGACATTTTTCCAAAGAAGATACACAGATGGCCAACAGACACATGAAAAGATGTTCATCACTCATCAGGGAAATACAAATCAAAACTACAATAAGATATCACCTTACACCTGTCAGAATGGCTTAAAATTAACTCAGGAAACAATGGATGTTGGCAAAGATGTGGAGAAAGGGAACCCTCTTACACTGTTGTCAGGAATGCAAACTGGTGCAGCCACTCTGGAAAACAGTACAGAGGTTCCTCAAAAAGCTCAAAATAGAGCTACCCTAGGACCCACCGATTGCACTACTAGGTATTTACCCAAAGGATACAAAACTGATTTGAAGGGGCACATGCACCTGATGTTTATAGCAGCACTATCAACAATAGCCAGATTATAAATTACAAATTTTTAAAAATAAAGATAAATAATAGCCAAATTATGGAAAGAGCTCAAATGTCCATCAACTGATGAATGGGTAAAGAAATTGTGATACACACACACACACACACACACACACACACACACACACACACACACACACACACACACACACACACACACACACACACACACACACAAATGGAATACTACTCAGCCATAAAAAATGAAATCTTGCCATTTACAATGGTATGGATGGAGCTACAGTGTAATGTGATTAGAAAATAAGTCAGAAAAAAAAAAAGACATGATTCCACTCGTGGAATTTAAGAAACAAAACAGATGAACATAAGGGGAAAAGAGAGAGGCAAACCGTAACTATAGAGAACAAGATGAGGGTTGCTAGAGGGGAGGTAGGCAGGGTATGGGCTAAGTAGGTGATGCATATTAGGGAGGGCACTTGTGATGAGCACCAGGTATTATATGGAACTGATGGATCACTAAATTCTACTCCTGAAGCTAATATCACACTATATGTTAACTAAGTGGAATTTAAGGAACTTGAAACAAAAAAGACATACTGAGTTTTAAATGCATGAGACATTCAAGTAGAAAGATTTGGCAGTTAAATGGATCCTGGGGGCACGTGGGTAGGTGGCTCAGTTGGTTAAGCATGCAACTCTTGATCTCAGCTCAGGTCTCCAACTCGGTGTTGTGAGTTCAAGCCCCATGTTGCACTCTGCTAGGTGTGAAGCCTGCTTAAATGATGGACGGATGGATGGATGGGTGGATCCTGCAGTTGGAAACGGTTGAGGGCTGAAGATGGTATTCTGGAAGTCATCAGCTTGTAGATGGTCATTGAGAAGGACCAGATCTATGGTGGAGAGACCCTGGGCTTTGGGAAATTTGGCCAGAAAAGAAAGCTTGGGCGAAGGCAGAGAAGTAACTTTTACCAGAGGAACTCATCAGGGAGTACAAAGAGACGTGCCAGAAAGATGAGAGGAAAAGCAGGAGCGCCCAGCTGAGGGAGGAGGCTTCTGAGAGGGAAGCGGTGGTCAACCATGCCAAAAGTTGCTAAAACGTTAAGGATGGATGAGAAATGTCTGTTGGATTTGGTGAAGAAAGAACAGGTGGTCATCGAGACGCTGAATGGATGGGAGACCAAGGAGGAGAGAAGAGGGATTCAAGTAGCTGAGACTAACTTGAGAGCCTGCTACCTGTGAGAGCAGACCTGGCGGGAGCGGTGGGGGAAAGGTGTGTGCTGGAGGGATGTTTCCTGAAGTGTAGGTAGGGGAGGAAAGGGAAATGTTGGAGCCCTGTAGGGATTGTTTTTTTTTTGTGTGTGTGTTTTGTTTTTTTAAGATTGGAGAGCAGTGAACCTGTGTCAACACCAATTGTGAAAAAACATGCGGAGACTTAAGAAACGAGAGTGAAGTTGGGGGAGGCTTTGGAGGTTGGGGGCCATAATCGATGAAAGGACATCTCTGAGAAGCGAGAGTAGGGGGGATGGATGATGCCATCCAGAGCTGAGGTGGGGTGTTCGAACTCGGAAAGGAGGAGGAATGACTTTTCCGGGTCTTCCAACAGGGTGGGAAGGGGCGCTGTGGCCACTGTATGGGGACTGTGCCAGGACAAGGGCGGAACTACCCTGGACGGTGGTAGTGTGAAAACCGAAAAGTCCTGAGAACCTGACTTGCAGCTTCTTTGTTCCAAGCCCCAAACTGCCGCCAAGCCTTGGGCTTCCAGGCAGCATGCCCTGTAGGTTGGCCCAAGGCATCGACCCAGGGCAGAGACAAAAGCAGGCTCTCGGAGTGTCAGGAGTACCAGGATGAGCTGGGGCTCTGGGGGGTGAGCAGTGAGCTGGAGGGGAGACTGACTGGGACTGAGCTCCAGGGTCACAAAGTTGGTAGAGGGACCAAGGCGACGCTCCAAGAGTCTGTAATTCTTCCGAGGGCAAGGCAGTGGCATGATGTCCTGAGTGTGACCACAGTGCCCCTCCACCCCCAGCCCTCTGGGGCCCTACCCCTCTCCCTCCCACCCCATACCTGAAATGCTAGGAGCACATACGCCACCTGTTGCCCTGGGCTCTTCTGTGGCTTCTCGTAAAGTCAGCCAAGTTTGCCCTCATTCCCCCCGAGTGTCCTCTATCCAGACTTCTCCCCAGGCTGACCCACATCCTACCCTTTCCAAGCCTGTCCTCTCCAGGAAGCCTTTCTAGACTCCCTGCTCCTCACCCCACCTTCTTACATCCAACCACACCCACCTGCCCGTGTGCTGTATGTGATCTTCCCCGTGTGTTCCTCCACTTTCTGCTAGTACCCGACTCCTTGATGGCAATGAAGCCTCAGAGTGTGTAGCATAAAACTTAGCATCTGGGCGGTGCATCACACAAGCCTTTTGGTTATTAAAATAATGATGGCTGATAATTGTGTTATGAAATGTGTTACAAAGACAATTTTCCTCCTAACTTTTCCAAAGGATTCTCATATACATTACCAGCCCACGAGGTAAGTGTACCAATACTAGACCCTTTGCATTCTCCAACGAGGAAGGAAACGGACACGGAAAAAGCCCAAATGACTCTGTTCAAGCCATACATTGAGATGATGGTGGTGCTCTTGTTCTCTGCACAGGGCCCCAGGTTCTTACCTTCTTGACATAGGGTACATATTGTGGCCGTTTGGCATTGAGGAAGATCCCAGTGGCACAGGGAATGAGAACCAGGATTAGTGATATCACAATGCCTCCATAAGGTACCTTGTCCTTCAGATCCCCGGCATAGATCCCCCTGGAGTAGACATACAGGAGGAGGGGCATCATGCCCAGGGCACAGAAGGTGGAGCAGGTGGTCATCACGATACTGGGTGGGAGAAGCAGGGGAGAGTACAGAGAGACAGCGCCCGTTAATATAGACTATTTGTTGAGTGCCTGCTACGTGCCAGGCACCGTGCTAAGCACTTTACATACATTAATTCCTTTCCTTTTCCCAGTAGGCTTAAGAGATACAGGCTACAGGTTGATAGTCTCATGTTTGTTACTTTCTGCTTTATCTTTATTTATGATAGAGTGTGAGTTCCAAAGCCTGAGTCATAATATATATTCTCAGCTCTAATTTGTATCCTAATTGCACTATTACCATTTCTATTTGGAATCCAGTACATGTTGGTCACAGGACCCTGTACAGGGAGAGGCCTTCCAGAAAGGCCACCCGAAAGAATGAAGCTGCTAGGGAACATTGTTGGATTTGCAGATATTCGTGTGACAATATACGACTCTGGTTTCCATTCTTGCAGGCATGTTAGTCATGAGGGCTTGGCAAGAGCCCAGGAAATCCCCACTAAGTGTGTGTTTCCCCTCCCACAGCCCTAACTATCTGCACTAATTTGTTGTTTCCACAGGGTGAACTATAGCTTAACTGAACATCAAGCATGGCCTAGGTCAACGGGGCCAGAATGTAGCCATCAAGAACAGCAACAGGTAGAGGTATCATCATTAGGAATAAGATGTCAGAGCAAGGCACGTGGCTGGTTCGGTCAGAAAAGCATATGACTCTAGATCTTGGGGTCATGAATTGGAGCCCCATGTGGGGTGTAGAGATTACTTAAATAAAACTTAAAAAAAAAAGACATCAGAGGTGAGGAGAGACCCTCAAAAAATGCTGAGAACTTAATAATGGGAAAATCCTTCCTCTGTGAACATCTAAAACACTTATGAACACATTTTGAGCTTGTAGGAAAGTTAGGGAAGTTTCCAGGTACCAGAGACAGAACGCAAAGGAGTTGGTGGGTGAAGTCAGGCTGGAGCTGCACCGCATGCAGTGGGGAGAGAGGGGGGTGTTTGTCTGGGAATCTGGAGGCTTAGGTTTTATTGCCCAAGGGAGGGACCAGAACTGAGGTCTTATGCTTATAAAGGAGAGTTGAAACCGAGATATCCATAATAAAAGAACTGTTGGAAAAGAAAAGATCTAATTATCTCACATGTCAAATATAAAATCATAACGGAAAAAATATTTGGAAAAGCATAATGATGCCACACATGTTTTAAAACACATGGGAGCTGACCTTGGATTACACAATAATTCGTAGAAATGAGGGGCACATGGCTGGCTCAGTCGTAAGTGTCCGACTCTTGATTTTGGCTCGGGTCATGATCTCACGGTTTCGTGAATTCGATCACGTCAGACTCTGTGCTGACAGTGCAGAGCCTGCTTGGGATTCTCGGTCTCCCTCTCTCTCTGCCCCTATCACACTCGCGCTGTCCCTGTCCCTTTCAATAAACTTAAAAAAAATTTTTTTAAATGACACCTAAAGCACAAACAACCAAAGAAAAAAATAGATATATTTAACTTCTTCAGAATTAAAAATGTTTGTGTTTCAAAGGACACTATCCAGGAAGATATACCAATGGCAAATAAGCACATGAAAAGATGCTCCACATCATTAGTCATTAGAGAAATATAAATCAAAACATGAGGAGATCACCACACCCAATAGTATGGCTACAATAAAAATGATGGATAATAAGTTTGGTGAGGATGTGAAGAAGCAGGAATCTTCCTGTGTTGTTGATGGGACAGTTATAGAACGACCCACCAATTCTACTAGATACATACTCAAGAGAATCAAAACATACGTTGTTACGTATGTTGACACAAAGACTTGTGTACTAATGTTCATAGAAGCATTATTCATAATAGCCAAGAAGTGGAAAACAGTAAAAATGTCAACTGAAGAACGGATAAGCAAAACATGGTGTATCCATACAACTGAATATTATTCAGCCACAAAAAGCAATGTGTTAAGTACCTGCTACGTGTTACCACATGGGTGAACCTTGACAACAGTGTGCTACATGGAAGAAGGAGAAACATAAAAGACCACATAGTGTGTGATTCCACTTATATAAAATTGATAGACATGAAATAGATTAGTGGTTGCCAGGGGCTCAGGTGAGAGAGGAATGTGTAGTGACTGCTAACTGGTTTCTTTTGGGGATGATTAAATGTTCTGGAAGTAGATAGTGGTGACAGTTGTACAACCTTGCGAGCATACGGAAAACTATTGGATGATACACTCTAAGAGAGTGAACTTCGCAGTATATGAATTATAGCTCAATAAAAAATAATTAAATCTGGGAGCAGCTAAAATAATTCTTAGAGGAAAATGTTTAGAGCCTTAAATGTTTATATAGGGAAAGCAGAAGAGTAAAAACAAGCCAAATATCTTACCCAGAAACTTAGAAAAAAACAAAGGAAACTCATGAAAATAGAGGAAAGAAATGATGTACAAAAATTACATACAATGAGAGGGTCAATTAAACCAAGAGTAGTTTCTCTGCCAAGTCCAAGAGAAGACTCCTCTGGCATGCTAACCCAGGAAAAAGGGAGAAGGCACCATTGATTGTATTAGGAATGAAAAAGGGAACATAACTGCAGATACATTAAAGATTTTAGAGAGTTCTAGAAGAAACCGAGGCCAGTTTTGTACTTTCATTTTTCAGTTTAGATTGAATGGACAATTTCCTGGGAAATATAAACTACAAAAACCAATTCAAAATGAAGCTGAAACCTTAGTATTGCTGAAGGATATGAAGGAAGTGAAAACCTACCCTCCAAACCCCACATGATGTATATGGTTTTATAGCAGAGCTCGGCCAGACGTTCAAAGTACAGATGGTCTCACTATTATACAAACAATACAAAAGGGGGAAACCTTTTGTATTGTAAATTGTATGCCCCAATTTATTGTATATGAATAGTGTAATTTTAGAACCAAAGCTGCAAAAGGATATCATGAGGAAGGAAAGTTAGGGGCCGTTCTCGTGAACAAAGAAGGAGAAGTCATAAATACATTATTAGCAGATTAGCAATGCTTTTATAAAATAATACAAAATATAAGATGGGTTTGTCCCAGCAATGTAAGAGTGGGTTAACATTAGACTAAATCCACTGACCTATATCACTGTATTATCACATTAAAGTAAAAATGGTATCATTTGATAGATACAGAAAATTGTCATTCAACAAAATTCAATGCTCATGCATTACAAAAATTAGTACACTAGCAACAGAATAGAATTCCTTAACCTGAAAAGGGTATCTATCAAAAAGTACAGCAAACAGTAAACTTCATGGTGAAAAATTAGAAAGTTTCCTCTTAGGGCACGCCTGGGTGACTCGGTTGGTTAAGCATCTGACCTTGGCTCAAGTCATGGTCTCCTGATTCATGGGTTCCAGCCCCACATAGGGCTCTTTGCTGTCAGGGTGGAACCAACCTGGGATTCTCTGTCCCCCTCTCCTCGCTGCATTTGCCCTGCTCACACTCTCTTGGTCTCTCAAAACTAAACATTAAAAAAAAGTTTCCTCTAAGAAGAAAGATAAAGCAAATGATATCTATTACCATCACAGTTATTGTAAATCATCCTATATATGTCTTTGCTAGCACAGCAAAACAAGAAATAGAAACTGTATGGGATGGGAAAAAAAGAAACCAGACTTTCATTACATGCCAATGATTGGACTGTCAACAGAGGAAATCCAAGTGAATTCCTAACTAGTAAGGAAGAGAATCCATGAATTTCTAAAAACATTAACAATATGAAGGAGGCACCTGGGTGGCTCAGTCAGTTAAGCATCCGACTCTTGGGCTTCAGCTCAGGTCATGATCTCACTGTTGGTGAGTTCAAGCCCCATGTCGGGATCTGCAGAGGCTGCTTAGGATTCTCTCTCTCTCTTTCTCTGCCCCTCCCCTGCTCATTCTCTGTCTCTTTCTCAAAATAAATAAATAAAATTAAGAAAAAAAAAGAAACAAATATAAAATGTTTAGAAATCTAAAAGAGATATGCAAGATCTTTATAGAAGAAATTATAAAACTCCATAGAAAGGTATAAAATAAAGTCCAAATAAAAAGAAAAGCTCTATCATTTTCATGGATGGGAAGACCCAATATTATAAAGATGGCCTCTAAATTTATCTATGAATTTAATCAACAGTCCAGAAATATTTTTGTAGACTTGAGAACTAATCCCCAAATTCAAGTGAAGAGTTAAGGGCCAACAATAGCTAACATTTTCAGGAAGAACACGGTGTGGGGATTTGCCTTTCAAATATTGAGACTTATAAAGTCATTGTAATTAAGAAAATTTGGTGCTCGTGCAAAGAGCCACATAGACCAATAGAGGGGACATCCCAGACACAAACCCATGCACATTTGTGAATGTTATCTATGTGAGAGATGGCAGTACAACTTACTGGAGAAAAATTCACTCAGTGGTACTGGGAATTTTCTCTATTCATATGGAAAAGATAAAATTAGATCACACCATCCGTAAAAATAAGCGCTAGGTTGATTGCAAATCTCCATGTGAAAAGCATAACTTTGAAACTTGTCAAAGAAAATGTAGGGGAATATCTTCATGACCTTGAGTGTAGTAAATGATTTCCTAAAGGACCCCCCACCAAACACAAACTAAGAAAAAATATTGGCAAATTCAACTAAATTAAAATAAGCACTCTGTGTTATGAGACATCATTATCAAAATATAAAGGCCAGCCCCAAACTGTGAGTAGACCACTGCAACGCGTGAAAACAACAAATAACTACAAATCAAAGAGAAAAACACAACAGTTCATTAGAAAAATAGGCAAAGACTTATTTCTGGAAGACCAATGGTGAACCAGTCTTCCGCCAAATGGTCAATAAACCTATGACAATGTGCTAAGCCTCTCTTGAGATCACATTTAACACTGCTGTGACCCATTTCACTCTTACCAGGTGGCGAAAACTATCAGAGTCTGACAACTCCGAGTACAGCAAAAACAAGGAGGAAGAAGGATCTATCTACACTGCTCGGGAAAGTGTGACCCGGAATGACTACTCTGGAGACTCATTTGTGGATGTGTGAACCCTACGACCTAGAAGTGCTGTTTTTATTATATACACTCTCACGTGGCAGCGCAGGGGCATAGGGTACAAGACTGTTCACAGCAGCAGAACGAGAAATCCCCCGAAACGTCTGCGACTAGAACAGATACATTCAAGCAAAGGACACTGCAGTCCAGAGGCACAAAGTAGCTATTTTATTCATATGCCTATATCTCAAAAAAGCAAGCTGGCAAATGATAGGGGCAGTGTGGTACTGTTTATACAAATTTTAAGAAGGTACAAGCACAACAATGTATCTTGCCTATGGATATATACAAGTACTGCCTGTAGCAATTATTATAAAAGGGTCTGTGCTCCCTCGGGGTGGGTAGGGGGCACGGGATTGGGGAGGGGCGCACAGGGGCTACAGGGCTACTATTGATCTCTTCTGAGGAGAAGAGCCACACACAGCTAGTGTGCTTGTTTTGATGTCCTTGAGCAGAGGAGTCATGCTTACTTTGGCTTGGTGTGTCAGGAGTTCTGGAATTTGCTCTGGGACGCGGTGTGCCTCGGGGTGTGCCTTGGAAACCATGCCCCAAGACCTCTGGGGGACTGCTGTGCAGGTGCCGGGTGCACCTCCTACCTTGCTGGTGTCTATGACTGTCGCGATCCTCAGTTTACCCTGAGAGACAGGGAGGGGAGGTGACTTGACCAGGCTCCATTTCGGAGACTGGAGCCTGTTCTGTAGGAACATCATGGACCTGGTTGTCCCTCGGGGGACAGAGGGCCAGAGGGAAAGGGGCACGTGGAGTTCCTTACTCCTTCCTGCTTAAGTTCTCAGAGCACTGCGCACGCCCTGCTTTTGGACATCTGTACACTTTCCCCCCAAATTCTGGGAAACCTCTGGCAGGTCTCTGGACTTCGGCTCGTCGTCTATAAAATGCAATGGGGTGGGGCGCCTGGGTGGCGCAGTCGGTTAAGCGTCCGACTTCAGCCAGGTCACGATCTCGCGGTCCGTGAGTTCGAGACCCGCGTCGGGCTCTGGGCTGATGGCTCGGAGCCTGGAGCTTGTTTCCGATTCTGTGTCTCCCTCTCTCTCTGACCCTCCCCCGTTCATGCTCTGTCTCTCTCTGTCCCAAAAATAAATAAACGTTGAAAAAAAAAAATTTAAAATGCAATGGGAGTCTTAACCGCCCCCACCCCAACTCTCAATGGCAAATCCTATCGTTTTGTACTTAAAGAGAGGTCTTGTACTGGCAGCCTTTGAGCTACAGCTGGCTCCTGAACACACGTTTTTTTGGCTTGCACGGTGTTTTAAAATTTTTTAATGAGTTGCCAATATTGAAAAATTTGGAGATTTCACTTAAAAATGGAGATTCACTTAAAAATGCCTTCTCTTGAATCGGCCACAGTGGCTCCCACAGAACACCCACAGCAGACATGCGGCATCTGCCTTGCTTAGGGGGCCCATCAGCCACTTGGCTCATCTATACACATGCTGGGCCCTGAAAGGATTTAAAAAAAATTCTGTTTTTATAAAAAAAATTTTATTTTAGAGAGTGTCTGAGCAGGGGGAGGGGCAGAGGGAGAGAGATGAGAGAGAGAGAGAGAGACAGAGAGAGAGAGAGAGAGAGAAACAGAGAATCCCAAGTAGGCTCCATGCTCAACACGGAGCCCCACACAGGGCTCGATCCCACCACCTGATCATGACCTGAGTGGAAATCAAGAGTTGGATACACAACCGGCTGAGCCACCCAGGCACCCCATGAAGGTATTTGAGTAGAAGTGCAGGATCTGGAGTCTCCCAGACCTTGGACAAATGTATTAACCTTTCTTAGGCTCAGTTTCCTCATCTTTATTTATTATTATTATTATTTAATGTTTATTCATTTTTGAGAAAGAGAGAGAGAGAGAGAGACAGAGCATGAGCGGGGGAGAGGCAGAAAGAGAGGGAGACACAGAATCCGAAGCAGGCTCCAGGCTCCGAGCTGTCAGCACAGAGCCCGACGTGGGGCTTGAACCCGTGAACCGTGAGATCACGACCTGAGCCAAAGTCAGATGCTCAACTGACTGAGCCACCCAGGCACCCCTCAATTTCCTCATCTTTAAAATGGGACTATTTACAGCACCTCCTCACAGGATACTGTATGAGGATTTCATGGAAAGTGCTTGGAGCAGTGCCTGGCTGTTTCTTATTATCAGTATCATTTCAGTATAATACATGTAACATGTTGTCCCAGATGAACTCCAATTGTAATTTAAAGTCTGGCAGCGTGTGAAGGTAGATGATGAGATACATATTGCACCACTGGGCTCTAAGGCATGGTTTAATGTGCGTGGGAGGTTTGTCTGTTTGCAGGAACGATATGGCAGGAGGTGGCCATCCCAACATTGTCTTTGTAGAGTCTGGGTAGAAGTGAGAGTCCCCACGGGCCCAGACAGGGAGGCTGAGCAGGCGAGCATGAAGGCTCACGTTCCTGAGTCACTGAGGCTGGGCTGGGGGGGTCTCGAACCTCAGAAATGCAGGCCTAACTGGAGAGACCTCACTGGCACCCATTGGCTGATGAGGCTGGGACATCTGGTCACTTACACTTAAAAATGTCTCCTTGTTCTTTACATGGTCCTTCCTTGCTCTGCCGTTTCTGCAGGTTCACAGAGCCCTGAGAATACCCCTTCCTTGACCCCCGACTTCCTGCACCCCTTCTGCACTGGAATTAAGATACAGTCTGGATTTCTCAGGACACAGAGGCTGCATGCAATGAGCTGCGTCCACAGGGCAGACCGAAGACTGACGGTTTGCTGTGCAGCAGGAAGGACTCGGATCAGACGGAGGGAAGAATTTCCTCACAGGTAGTTGAACGTGTTCCCAGGGAAGACTGTACGAGCCAAGTCCCCTCTTTGTGCCTCTCTTCCCATCAGCTACCTCCTGAGGGCTGAGTCTCGTGGGTGGAGAGGCCAGAGCTCGGGTGGTGGGTCCCAGGAAGGACCAGCTCACTCTTGTTTTTTTCATTTAAAGAGCGGTGGTCTCACTCTACATCACAGGCGGGGTTTCCTTAGTTGTCTGGTTTGCTTACTGGAGTTGGTAGGGTGCTGGCCAACACAGGCATGGATGGAAGGTCTCCACTGAGGACTGAACGCCAGAGGAGGCAGGCTGGGGACTGAGCCTCACAGAAAGGCAAGAGCTTTCGCTGATGAGTTTCCCTCAGCCAGCGTGGGCTACTGCTGGGGCTGGAGCCCCGGACTGAAATGGCCTCATTCTGGCAGGTGTTCTAGATCAGATTCCCACCTGTTTGGAAGGACAGGTGCTCAGCCGGCCCCTGCGGAAATGAGCCTTTGCCGACTTCTGCTCGGAGGCTTTGGGTGAAAGGACACTGCTGGTATTTTCCCTCCCAGTTGGGCTGAGATGTGGCCCAGCATGGCCTGTGCCAGTGTTGGGAAACTCGAGGATCTGCCTGGTTGTGTGTTTGCACAGATACGTTCCTGTGCCCGATGGGCCCACAGGGAAAGTTAAAAGAACCCCTCACTGCCTGGATAGTTGGAAGGATCTTTGGAACGTCTTGCCTATTCTGCAGGGATTGGAAGTGCTCTGTGGTTCCAGGGTGGCTTGGACCATCTGCACTCCCTTTCGGACCTCTGGTCTCAAGGCAGACGACTTGCCCATCATGGTAAGTGGGCAGAGTTTCCCAGAGGCCCCTCGGGTTTAAATCACTACTCCTTCAAGACAGTCCTTGTGGCCCACTTGTGAGGGAGTCTTCAGGAGGCCCCTGGACCAGGTGGGCCCCTTTGACTTTGACTAGGCCCCAGATCCTACCTCCAGCCCTGCATAGACTCTGGACGACAATGCCCACCACCCCCTGCCCTAGCATCCACCTGGCCCCCGCTCACGCCCCATCCTGGCTTTAGCCCAGCTTTCCCCCTAGACTCTGACATCTCCAATGCAGCTCCCATGCCCAGCCTGCTCCCTCCTCACCTCCAGTCCTACCTGAGGTTCATGTCCCCCTTCATGGCCAGACTGAAGATGTTGGACAGGGTCCCCCCGGGTGAGCAGCCGCAGACAAGGATGGCCAGCGCCTCAGTGTTGTTGAGCTGGAAGACCTTGCCCAGTGCAAAGGCGGTGAGGGGCATGATGCCGTACTGTGCTATCAGGGCGATGGCCAGCCCCTTAGGCTTCCAGAAGTGAGCCTTGATCTTGCTGATCTCCATGGTGCAGCCCAGCGAGAGCATGATGATAAGGAGCAGGAACACCAGGATGACGCTCAGTGCCTTGTCGGTGGGGCGCTTGCCGAAGTTGGGTGGGAGGGTGAAGTTGAGCGTGGCAGTCACATTGTGAGGCTCCATTCTCCTGTGTGGCGGCGGAAGGCCAGGGGCACCCGGCACACCCCTCGTTCGCTGCCGACTCCCTTCCCTGCCCCGTCTTTGCTGGGTGCCTTCTTCCGTCACCTCCCAGGGCAGCAAGCTTCAGGACAAAATGTGGCTCTGGGCAAATAGAAGGATTATGCAACTGGGTGTTCTGTCCTCTGGCTGTGGCCCCAAAGGGGAGAGAACCCAGAGCCTTATCTGCCTGGACTTCCCTGCTTCTTCCAGCTTCTGTACCTCTGCACCCTTCCTGGATGTCACTTACATTCCCTCCCCCCACCCCCCCCCCTTAACACTTGGCTGCCTCTGGGACAAGAGGGCCATTTCTGTCCTTTACTGCCCACAGAGCATGTGCCACAAGCATTCCGTCTCTGGGGACCCGTCCACGGCCAGCACTGATCCAGGCCAGGCCCTTCTTGTTCTCTGTTCAGTCTCTGATGCCTCGATTCTCATTCGGGGAAGACGCCCTCCCCATGCCCAGCGGGTCCCCTCTGTCTGCCCCCGAACCCATGTAGTGAGACTGTCGGGTGTTGCATTTCCTTCCCGGACATAGGTAGCCTATCTCAAGGCGCTGTGGGACAAGGTAGGGGCAGGTGTGCTGCTGGCTTCCAGAAGGAGATAAGTCCCTGGATCTTCTCCTGGAAGCTGACAGGTGCCTGCGGAAGTCCTTATCTTATTCCCAAACCCGGACAGAACAGGTGCGAGGGGGTAGAGCCTGCTGGGATGGTGAGGGGCTCTCAAGAAGCCTGGGGAGCTTTTTTCCTAAAAGGCAGCTCTCAGGGAATCCTGGCTGAGGAGACTTGTTTGTGCTCCGATGTCCCAGCCAGCAGCCTCAGTGGCCTCGTTGCTTGGGCAACTTGCTGAGAAGGAAGCAGGAATGCACAGGCTTTCCTTTTTGATTTCCGGACCGCTCTACTTTTGCTCTGTGCCTGTGTGTCTCAGGCTGGGAGCCAGGCTCTGGGCCCGGATGTAGAAAGAGGCAAGCACCTGAGGCCAACACCTCAGGCGCCTCCTGAGCCTTCCTCCCCCATCCTAGCGCAGGTGTGGGACAAAGGAGCAGTCCTCTGAAGAACAATCACCTCTTCTGGGTTGGAACCCATGGGGGTGGGGTGGGGGAGGGGGTCTCGTAGTTTCTTATTTGCTGAAAGAGGAGATTAGGCTTTTTGTGTGGGACTGCAGAGGGCAGACCAGGGACCAGGGTGTGAAGGGCTGGAGGCTGGGGGGCGGGGGGCAGATTTGGGTTTGGAATGAGGAACCACCTAAAAATGAGCTCTCTCCAACAATGGCCCCTGGGGCCTCTGGAATCCTGCATAGACAAAGGCTAGGTGACCAGATCCACACCTTTTCCACCACCTGCGTGAGAAAGCTGCTTCCTGGGGTTGAGAGGCGCTGAATACCGCGACCCTGGGCCACAGAACCGTGAGGCTGAATGAGAACTTCAACTACCTCCATTCTGACCTCAAACTTTCTAACTGATCAAGTTCTTCTTTCCAGGCTATCTCTTAACTCAGACAAAAGACCCTGAGGGCGAAACATCCCCTGAAGGGAACTGAAACCACCCCCTTTGAAACTAACCCCCTTGAGAGCGATAAAGGGCTGCCTAGAGCCAGCAAGACCCTGTATAACTGACCCCAAGGCAATGACTGACCTGATTATCCTGCATCTACCCATCGGGCCTTGCCCAACATTTTCCTATAGAAACCTGAAAGTATTTTTGGCCCTTTGGAGACAGTTTTGAGATGCCAGTGCACTGTCTTCCCAGCGCTGGCGTCGCTGAAATAAATTCCTTTCTTGTTTTACCACCACTCATAGTGGTGGTAAAGCCTTTGGGTTTTGTCAGTGGC